AAAGTACAATCAATTATCTTTAAATCGGTATAAAAATTGTTATGGCTTACATAGTAGATACGTACGATAGAGCTTTTGAAAAAATAGATTTTTCATATGTTTTACTATGTGATCGGCGAAAATTACCCAGACTTTTGTCCAGTGAATGTACAAAACACTCTCTGGCCAACAAATGTAATCGCTTACTCTAGAATAAGCAAAGATCGCAAGTCCACTGCTGCCATAAATATCCATCACACGACACGCCACAGACGATAAGAATGTTCAATAACAAACCAGTTGTCAAATAAAAATATATTATAAAGGCAACAATGCCCATTGTCAATTAATAACAGTCCCGACTCTCTCTGGTACACCAAATCTTATGTATCTCGTATACGCTCCCATTGCACTCGAAAGCCTCTGCATTAACAAAGGAATTAATTTAGTCATTCCGACAGTTATAAAAATTAATAGTCCGCGCACTTTTAACATCCTACCTGTCTTTCCAGAATACTACATCACTCTGCCAATCCTTGTCATCCAAATCAGCTACAAATTTCCCGAAATTTTCATTGGTCCAGCCATGACTTTCATGTACCAGTTTAACAAATCGTTCGTCATCTATTTTCTCTTTGCTAGCGAGAACTTTTGCTGCCAGGGAATCATAGAATTTCAATGCATGCAAAACCGACTTGATAATATCATTTGACTCGGCGTCCGAATGGTATAAAATATCAATAACATTACGTTTCTGATGATAATTAAACAGATAATTTTCGTTCTAAAAAGCAAAGTATATTAACATAGGTGTGCAATATGATTTGGGGATATCAATAAACCATTTGTTACATCATACCGTGAGGACGCTTAGAGACCGTTGTATATCCTCGCTCCTGCGAAAAGCTTCCGATGCTGGCACTCCCAAACGCAATTTGACACTAATGGGACTCTTTCCCGGTTTAATCCATTCACCGAATCCAATTTCCCTATCCTTCAATTCATCCATAGTTGGAACTTCACCCGTGTCAATATATTGTTTTGCAATCAGACTTAATTTAGCCTGATTGAGAATTTCAAATTGAGCAGCGTTCAAGAGTGACAGTGTCGCGTACAAGTTTGCTGGCACCAAGACGGAAAAACACGAAAACAGAAAGGCAGGGTCATGAGATATCGTGATCAGCCCTACGCCACATAACATTCTTTGAGGTTGCGTAGAAACAGAGGGAAAATAGAATTTTCATGACTTGCGCAATTGTAGGTTCAAACAGTAATCGAAACAAAAATCAATACAATATTTCGTACAATATTCATACCCTAACAGATGAGCGAAAGACATCTGCGCGTCGTCTTTGGCTACTATATCGCCGATATTACCAGACAACTATAAATACAAGTTTTGTCAATTCAAGTAATTCAATAAAGCGCGGTCAGACACGGCACATACTCACTGCAAAGTTTCTTGTAAAGGCCATATGAGTAGCACCAAATATACTGTATTGAATACTTTCGAAAGCGTTACCAAGAGAAGCCAAGGGTAAAAAAAGCGATGGTTTTGCTATGCATGTGCATAATTGCAAAAAATAGCCCACGACGGCAAACGTTTCACTGATCTACGATTCTCCCGAATGTATTGCACTGATTAGTTACGTGATTATAAGGTAGATGGACGTCAGATGTGCTCTTTAATTGCCTACCATTCTCCAAGTCTTTGGGTGCGAATCAAACGAGTAAGCAAACCGTTTGATAAAGAACAGTTTCCCTATTTCTCCAAAGCCATCCTTAAGAACCCTATTGAAACCGATCAGAGTTGAGTTCAGGGTACCATAAACACACGATAATTATTCACGATAGATACCACTGTATGGCGACTGCCCCTGCCGCTGCTTCTGCTTGACCCAAACCAAGAGATGAAAGCATGGCTTGACTACACAGAACCCCTGTCTAGACAAAATCTCCGTTAATGATAATGATCGGGTGGAAAGTCAACAAGCTCTCTCTTTTTTTTTAACGAAATATAAAGCTCACAGATGATCCAATGAATGTTTCTGCAGCAAGCCATATATGAAATTTAGCGTAACATTCGTGGACTGTCTCTGGATAACTAAAAAGTGACGGAAAATAAATATTAGTGTCTGAAATCAGCACCGGATACAGAGAGACAATAATGAAGCAGAAATTGATATACCCTACTGGCAGAAACATTGCACTTAAACTCTGCTTAATACTCCCAATGAAACTTGAAACAGGACCGCGCACTTCTGGAACGCCAGAATTAGACTTTTGCGGTTCCCATTGTCAGAGTAATGGAGACGAAGAAGCTTGGGGCGAGGTCTTTGAACTGGTTGGCGAGGAGTTGAGGCGGGGGCCAGTGCTGTAAATATACGCGTTCTCCCATATATGAGCTCGGTAAGTATGGGCTTATCTTTTGAGTCGGTTGTCGACTGGTTGTTGGTCCGAGATCCATTATTGGTCGTTAGTCGACGACGGAATATCTGGGAGCCTGTAGGTCGTGCGCATGACGGTATTATTGATTTCGTTCTAGAATGAAATTGTATAGGCGTTCCTCGAAAAGTGTAAATATATTTTATTAAAAAATTCGAGTTTGAAATCAATTCAGCTTTTGAACGAAGAATGTTGTGGATACAACTTGATTGCATTTCGTGGAAAAAAACTAGTGGAGCGAAACTCTAAAAGATACTCGTGAATATTTATCTCGGAATTCACATGATCTTTGAAATTTTTCTCCCCATAGAGATCCCCAGATTAATCATCTGATTTGATAATCTAATTCGATTATCTGAAATATGTATAACATACGCATCGCATACTCAGCTTGCCTTTTTTCAACTGGTCAAATTTTATGAAAATGAGTGTACATATACAAGGGGAAATACAAGGCAAATTAAAGGGGGCAAATTTAACTGTTAAATTTGCTCCCTTGAATTTAATTTGTAGCTACCAAGTAATTTTATACAAACAGTAAAGGAATGCAAAACACCACCCAAATTGTGTTTATGGTTTACAAGTTGATACAGTTTATTAAAAAATTACAGAACACTTGATGATTGTGTCAATAGCCATTCAATATTTGTCAATAGCGATGGCATTTGTTCTCCTAATAATGTAAGCAAGCGAGTAACAACAATACACTACAATTATCAACAGAATTTAAAGGATTCTGGGCCAGTCCATGACTGTTATAAAACGCGTGTTGCATTTATGAGAATGACATCAACCATAAGTATGTCAAGAAACTGCTCTCCCACGAATGAGTCGAAAACAAACGCACATAATAACGCTATTTAGATTTGCCTAAATGAAAAAAAATTTTTCACAAGCTTCAAAGATGTACACGCAATTTGTTTATAAAAGAGCTTTAACGGAAACTGCTAAAGCAGCAAGTACATGATTAAAGTGAGATGCAAATAAATGTTAGAAATACAATTAATTTCGCTCCATTAAGCGAAAGATTGATTTGCATCAAGAAACATCTGCAGCGAGTTGTTGCTGTAATATCGTGATTATATCGCAAGGGTCAGATGAGAGGCGATCACTTGCCCGACAACCATTTATTCACCAACATTATTTCGAAGTTATCCTTTTCTGGTAGTTAATTGTCGTTGTTGGGCAATCCCCATCATATTTACTGAACAATAGTAAAAGTCGTTATAGCAAATCATACGCTGTGCTGTTCGTATTATATTTATAATGATTGTGCTGCCCAAGCTATGTATAAACAAGGTGTAACCTGGAGTTGTTACGTGTAAGCTCAGGAACAATGAATATAACAATCTCCTTATGTTCTCAAATAGGAATAATACAACTCCTTGTTTTTGATCCCGTTTGTTAAAAGATGTTTGCATTCATGACGCTCGTTTTTCCTTGTAGCTTCGAGGCGTCAATTTCTCTTTCATACGGTTGAATTAGCGGGTCTGTTCAAACCGCTGTCTCAAGCTTCCTCTTTCGTTTTTCCTATACTCCCTAATACCAGCTCCCCGCCTTATCAATTAATTACGTATCAAAAGTTAATATCGCATTCTATAATATATGTCAAAGTCAGAGTCTCAGGACTTCTACAACGATTCGCAATTCGTAGCGACATCCCCAAATACCTTTAAACGGACTATAACAGAGCGATTCCATAATACTCGAGTTACCAGCACGAGTTCCCTGTTCCAAGACTCGAAAAATTTTGACGACGTGTCCGATCCTGTATTAAAAAGGGTCAACCAGGGAGCGATCGAAAACATAGAGAAATTGAGTGGAACGCATACTGCTAACAAAGCCGTGGTTTACTCACTCCAATCCATTTACAAAATTCATTGTCCTTCATCCAGCCGGCCACGGTCTCTATTGAAGTCACGTTAACCGCATTGGCCCATATTCCTTTCAACACGCAAAAGTCTGTGATGTTGGGGGCCACCTCTGAACCACTGGCGCAGAAATCGCACGGAAATTGTTGTGGTTGCAAAGCAAAGGCGCTAAAGAATGAAATGCAAACGGCGCTTTTGATCTGGTCGGGAGAAGGACCAATATTGTTTGTGGTATCCGTGGAATTGACCAAGTTAAGGGGAGGCCGGAAAGATCGGACATCCAATGCAACCATGTTCCCGAGTAATAAAAGTATTATAATAATTACACTAAGGCTAATTGTTCCAATATTTATGGATGTACTTTTTTCTTTTTGTAGAGTTCTTGGCAGCAATCAGCTCTCAGGCCCTATTCCCACTCTCCCGACAACCCTAACCACGTTGGACCTTAGTACCAATGCATTTTCGGGTTCGATTCCGACATCATTGACGCAAATAACAGGCTTAACGTTCTTGTCCTTGGGGGCGAATTCATTGACCGGACCCATTCCGACTTCAATTACTCAGCTGACCAGTTTGACTGATCTGTCGCTCCAGAGTAATAAGCTTAGCGGTGGAATACCTGACGGTATCGGTAACATGAATATACTTACATTGTAAGTAAATCAACATTTGTTTGACGATTATCCAATGGGATGAATACAAACATCATTACTTATCATCCTCTAATATTATTAGGAACCTGGCCTCTAATGCACTCACAGGCCAAGTACCGACGTCAGTATGTCAAAAAGCCTATAATACATGCGATCTTTCGCTGAACAATTTAACGTCTCCAATTAAATGTACTACTTGTCTTGTTTGATTGACAATAATGTATTTTAATATTACTGTATTCTTATTCACCATTTACTGCATTAGTCAATATACCTTCTCGTTTTTTCGGTGCTTGTTAGTGTGCGCGGGGAGCAAGATCACTATTGTAATAATAAAATATTTCACTTGGGTGGGGCATAGGAGAACAAAATATCGTATGATAATGTGTTCCAACAGTGTAACGATGTTTACTATTAGAGGAATTCATTCTATAATACTGACTAGAGTCTGCATCATCAGTCTTCCTATTGAAATCGTGCATGTTTTTTGACAAGAGGGCCGGTATCACATCTTCCTACGGAACTAACTATGGTATACAAGTTCTTGCGAAAACGCTAATCATCCTCATACTTCTAGATGACTCTGAAATAATTGTATCGAGTCTTCGTAATAAAGGTAAGAAAAAAGGATCGCGAAATTACCATTACCAGGATGACCAGCGACTGTCTCGAAAACTTTCGGATTAGAAAAAAACTGAGGATAGTACGTTAAGGCTGGATACTGGCCATGGTCTGCAAGCCATCAGCATGCTAGGATGAGTCACAATGGGGGCACTACAATAAACTGCAGTCAAACGACTAAAACTTGTATCTTTCAGGTTTTTTTGTTCAACGCAAAGTTGGACATTACGTTGAGGTGATCTCCAATGTTTTCATTGTCACAATATTTTAGGACACAGTGATCATAATTACGGAAATCCAGAAAACTTGGATCCATTGTTGAATATTCGATCATTAACATTACTAAATGATTAGCACAATATTCTGTATTCAGTTTCTAGCCGCCCTGCCCTGCTTTGTCTCTCACACTTGTTAGTATACCTACAATTCTTGTCAGCTTTAACTGACACCATAAACTGTAGGTGTCTCTCTTGTTCCCATTCGTGATTGTATTTGCTAATGTCTACCAAGGAGAATGTTAACCTTTCGGTTGGCAAAAGTGGTATGTGCGTGAAATTTCATCACATGCATAACGCTGATCTTAAAGTCACAAAATGTCGTCGGAAATAACGGGAAAGCCTGCTAATAATGACGCCCGCTCCCTATTCATTTCAGCGATTGCCAAATCGCCTACATACAAAAGATGACACAGACGTGGTCTTCATCTTTTAATAATGATACGACTAACAACAATAATAATGCGAGCATGCTTTTTTAGATCACGCCATCATTATCAGGGTTGGCCGTTCTCATTCGTGAGCTGTTATTTCTGTCGAACGAACGGTTTTTTGATAGGGCCGTGTGTTTAAGTTTACAATATGTAATACTTTACTTGGTAAATTTATCATGTGAGATAAGGTTGATATCTTAATTAAAACAAGGGGCGTTTCAAGTTGGTTAGGTAGTAAAATGGTATTTCAAAACGAGGAATTTGGAAGTGATGGACGTAGATTGGTCCGATAATGGTTACTATTTGTCATAACAGCAAACAGACACTCAAAAAAGCTTGATGCCTGATTAAAATGAGCACATAATAATACTAGATAAAAAAGAAAGCCATACCGTTCTAGTCAAACGAGACTGGGTAGTTCCGCCTGTATATCATGATACTTACTTTTCTGTGGAAATTCCTAACCCTAAAACAGAAACATCTCACGATTTTTATAGAAATGAGAATGTGTATATAAGAGGAATGAACGATGAAAAAAGGCGACAGTATAGAGTAACGAAATAGCAGAATATTTGCACGAATTGAAGCAAATACAAAGACGCAGTTTACATTTTCTTTGTTAAAATCATAGATCCTTTTACAAGCTTGAAATCGACATATCATTCGCTCTCCTCATACGCAAATTTCTATACATACTCGAGATGGACACTGCTTGCATACGTTCACCTACAGAACTTTCTTCAGCTCTTTTGACAAATGACGCACATGCCGATACTTCAATTCTGTTGCATTCTATTTCGCTGGCGACTCTAGTCTTTACAATCATTGCTTCTGGTATTATCACGATCTGGAATCGGTACGTTATACACCAAACACCATTTACATGGCAAAAGTCATTTTCACATATACTAGGGATAGCTCAGGGAAGGCAACTGGAAACAAATCAGCGATCGATTGTTCGATCACTTCACTCCAGCCCTACACCATTACGCTCTATAATTACCACATCTCCACGGTCATCGCTCGCTTCTCGTGTGCACGATCAGCATAAGATTGAGCAACAAGAATTCACAAAGACGCCATCTCCCGGAATTAAAAATAGCAAGTTTAAAATGACTAGAGAGCACATGGCGAATGCCTCATTTGAAGAGAAATTCGGGCTCTTGTTACTCGGCATCGATGACGATGATTGGAGGGAAAGTCTGGGGTCATATTATTATGGGGACCGTGATTAAGTGGAAATTAAAATTGGGGATGCGGGACATCACCATGACCAAGTGACATTTTTTTTCTTATAGACGTTGATATCTTTTTTATCATGCAGATTAAATTCCAGCTCTATTGATAAACCTAATTATTTCTTTGAATTCTTTGAGTGAAGGGCTAGACTTTTCGTAGACATGTTCTACCGGTGAAAGTCAGATTATAGAAGACCCGGGTCAAGTGGAAAATAAACTGTTTTAATTACAACAATATTGCGAATGATTACGCTCTCGAGGGGTGGATGTAGGGGTGGATGTTACTTGTCATATTATTATTATATGCCCACCGTAGTATAGGGAAAATAATTACTTAAAGAATACATCCAATCAGCTTTAGAAGTATTCGACAACTAATAAAATGTCGGGGAAAATAGAAAGTTATCAAAGTATATCTAACATAGGAACAAAACCATTAACAACTAGAGTCTACCGCTTTTTTATATATAATGTGGACAATTGTATGGAGAGAGGCTGATAAATAAATATAAAAAATGCTTTCCCGTAAGGTTGAATCAATTATTCGAGCAACACTGCCGTCAACTATATTTCCTGGTTATAGCTCTTTCTCTCTCAATGATCGAGTCCTTTTCCCCTACCATAAGGAAGACATTCTGTTCTATGTTTTGTGGTTCCCTGCTCATTATTTATAGCTGTCCTGGATGACAGTAAGAAAGTTTTTGTTGTTGGGGACGCGAGTCAATGAATAATTACCGTATGTGTGGTGCACAAGCCGTCAAAACACTAGGGATTCGTTTCATCCAATAGCGTTATTTCCCTGACTGCTTGTCACCTGCCGAATGTTAGACAGTGAAAACAAGATAATGCAGAACTTTGAAATGATGTCTCTTACTTCCAACACAGAATACCATCTTCCTTTGTATTTAATAGATAGTCCGTTTGAAACATTATCCAAGCAATCTACCTCTCCAACACTTCCATCAGCTTGGAATCGCAACGAGTCTATTGAATTGATACAAGTAGGAAAGAACGGATTAAGGGCCAAATATATTGGTAATTTATACATGGAGGATAGGTTGTCCAAGCACAGTAGCTGCGATTAATACAGAAATATGAACAGGCGGGGGAAGTGATGATGCAGCTATCAGAACAGATTATCCCATACCACGAGAATGCGGCTTGTACTATTATGAAGTCGAGATAATCAACAAAAGCTTGAACGGGTATGATCAAATATTGAGAGAGTGAGGCTATGGAATTTTAGCAAATAGGTTGTTATTATTATTATTTTACTCGCCATGATTTTGCTGATCATGTGTTTACTGTATGTTGTAGATACATTGGAATTGGTTTTGCAACGAATAGTGACTCACTTGATTATCCGCCAGGTATTCAACTAACCAAAATTAAGCATCTGGCTATGGACAATGTCCACTTCCATACACGAGTTGTGTTTTTGTAATACATGTTATTTTTTATATTACATCTGGAGTTTGTCTTGATTATCTCCCTCATTACATCCAACTTTTCTTTGCTTGTATTTATGAATTCACGTTATATGATAACAGGATGGTACCCTAATACTAATTCCTATGGCTATCACGGGGATGATGGGAGAAAATTCCACGCATCACGCAATGAGGGGGAAGCGTATGGCCCACCATTTACTACTGGAGATGTTATTGGGTGTGGTATAAACTTTTTAAACGGCACTGCATTCTACACTAAAAATGGACATAATCTGGGTGAGCGACATATTAGTATATAGCTTACAGAAGAAACATAAAGAGTTTATTGTTAGATGATAATTAATAAATATTATTAATTATAGGCATTGCTTTCCGAGATATCGAGGGAGACTTTTATCCGATTATAGGTCTTAGTGCTTTTAACGAGACAGTTGAGGCTAATTTCGGCCAAGATGAATTTGTGTTTGATGTTGTTAAATATGCAAAGGTCTGTTAAAGCCATATTAACATATAACTAAGAAATATCGTGGAATAACGTACTAAACATCGTTTCTGATTCTTACAGGAACTTTTTGCGGAAACTAATGAGAATGAGGCTATTGCTGCGACGAATGTCATATCCAGTGACGTATGACTATGAAAGACTTTATGAGTTAGCTTCGCATAACCTATAAAGTTAGTTTTTCGTGCGCTAAAGCTATGATAATAAATAAGTCAACTTTCCCTGCGTATAGTCAAACGTTCCAATGGAATCGTCAAAGATTATACTCGTGCACATAATGGAGTTTATGTCCAAATCTGTATTATAACAAGTTTCGACTGGACTGTACGTATACGCTGCAACAAAACCAAGGGAAAGATTAGAAAGCTTTGATCTGTAATATATAAGTGAGATAACTTCTTTACTTGAACATTATCATACGATCTCATATAAGGCTATCTTTGTATAAAAATATTAATATGAAAATAATTCACATCAAATCCACTATGGTACCACCAAATTATTGTACAATTAGAAGCCATTTTAAAGAAAGTGCAAGGAGAAAATTTACTCCAGTTTAAACTTGTAAATACCAAATCCTTGCTAGTATAATTGCAATAACATTAATGAGGAGGTGCAAAGATTTTTTGATGAGGTTTGAGATGCTTTGTATCACGAGGTTAACGTTAACGTGCCAATTGTATGGCATGTCTAAAGCATTCCATTGGTCAACAGCGAGGGAGTTTGGGCCTTTGCTATGATAAGCCATGAATTTAATTTATTTTTAGATGAGTACGATGAGATACGCGGATTAATTAATCCAAACTACGTTGCAGAATAAATGTTTTCTCAAATTTTCTGATAAATCTTTTCCCAAAGCTGGTTCTAATGGTTTCCGCCAGCGAACTATTAATTAACCCTAATTTCTTTAATTGTTTTGGAGAATTATATTTTTTTCAGCCAATGTTGGCGGGCAAAATGTGCCCGACTTTCAACGTAACAGATACCCAAATGGTCCGGTTAATGCATTGAAAGGTTCAAATTATGTATGGGTTTTCAACGGCGGTGAGGAAATGAATCGAACACAGCATTTAGTTGGCTGGATTCAAGCTTTGGTTCCTGGGGTTAGATTATTCGTATTCAATACTAACTTACCTGCACGATGTTTTTAACTAATCGCACTATTAAAATTAAAAAATTTGATAGGCTTCTCGGTTTCGTTTTTTTTTCATTAGTATACTTTGATGTTTTGAAATTAACGCAAATAAACAGAGAATCGATTTGATTATGTAGGGGTAGTAGTTATTAATAAAAAAGACGACAATTAGCGTCTTCTATTCAAAACTAATCGGAAAATCTTACCGCCTTCACTTACTATGAGGCATGTGTTTCGAATTGAAAAATATTGCATAGTATTATAACCTAACAAAGTGGGTATATTCTCAAATTGATATTTAATATTGCCATTTTAGATGGAAATAACCGAGCTCAGTCGGTATACTCAAAGACCTTACAGATGATAGAAAGCGGAATCGAGCACGAGATGGTTTCAAATTCAGTGATAAGCAGGCAAGCATATTGACTCTTACTCAAAAAGTAGCTGGTGACGTAAATCTCAAAGAATTAACACGATAAATTTACGAGACAAACTTAGTGAAGTCTGCATTACGAAAGTTAGCTACGTCAACATCAAACGAAAATGCTGGTATTCTAGGCTCTCCCTATAATATGGTTGATTTCCCGCGATTACAAAAAGCTATCGAATTTCAAAAAAATTGTCGTAAAGCATCCATTACCGGATTATTTTACATCAGAACGGTTAAGGAAAGGTTGGATATATGACATTACCTGATTTTCGCTGTGTTAATTTTGTTGAGATGGGCTGTTTGATGTGAATAGCGAGATAATTTGAAGCTATGCGATGTTTGAGATTTAGCGTAAAATGACAAATATAGTGTGCCGTTGCTTTATTGGCGACTTGTTTTGAAAGTGCCTGCGTACACTATTCCGATCAGTTAGTGTATGCAGCGGATACGGTTTTGAACGGTAACGCACAAAAGCTGTTACAGAAATTGTTGCGTGCGGTGAGACAAACACAACACGTTTCTGTGCTGCGAAAACTAATAACTAATATGCTTGCTTGCATAGCTGGACAGAAGAAAGGTACTCCGTTTTTCGTATACGAATTGCAAAAATAAATCAGC